AACTCTCAGGGACTGGGGATGTGGCTCATTTTTTTCAGAGTCTCTGCCTCACACGCAAGGCCCTGGGTTCCATTCTCAGTCCTGCACAAATCTGGACATGATAGAACACTCCTGTAATCACAGCTCTTGGGAAGTAGTGACTGGAGGATCAGAGTTCAAGTTCAAGGTCATGAGTTCAAAGTCACCCTGGGCTACAAGAGACCCTGCCTCAAACCAGAACAACAAAATTCATTCACATTTCGCTAATAGAAAAAATCGTTTTTGTGACTTGCTGAGAAATAGCTGAAAAAAAAAACTATCAAGAATTTTAAACACGAAGCCAGTTATGGTTGCTCATATATGTAATCCAGGCACTTGTGAGGCAAAAGCAGGAGATTCAGGAGTTTAAGGCTAGCCACAAGTTTGAGGCCAGCCTGGGCTACAAGAGACAATGGCCAAAAAGGGAAAAGGAGTGGGCAAGAAGATCTTTAAGTATTAACATGACACCCTGACCTTTTACCCATTAGTTCTAAGACTACGTTGAAAGGAACATATTTTCTCAATGTTTCATCAACAAATATAAATCATAACGTGATTTGAAACAATAAAAACAAATGATAATATCTTCAACAGAAAAGACAAAAGCAATTCATCTATAAGGCTGAGTGTTAATGGCTGTGAGAGAGGCTTTTAGGACAGAGAAAGCCTTGCCAACCAAAGGATGGGAACAAGAACCCAGGGCTGGGGACATGGCTTGGTCAGTTAGCATAAGGACAAGCTTAAGATGGCTTAGTCACACAGCATGAAAGACCCAAGTTTGATCCCCAGCACCAAGGTCAAAGCCAAGAACGTATCTATAACACCAGCATGGGGTTTAGGAGGAACCTTTGTAGCTCTCCGGGTGGCAGCTGGTTCAGTAAGAAACCCTGACTCCAAAAATAAGGTAGAGAGCAATTGAGAAAGACACCCAATGTAGCCTCTGGCTTCCAGATGGGAATGTGTACACACACACACACACACACACACACACACACACACACACACACACATACACATGCAAACACATACACACACATATACACACATACACACACACACATACACACACGCACACACACGCACACGCATACACATACACACACATACACACACACACACATACATACACACACACACACAGTGAACAAAACACAGTACATCGCTTCGTCTTCCTCCATGTCACACAACCTAATTCACAGCTCCACTAACAGCTGTTGAAAGACTTGAAATGGAAATAGAATTAAAGAAAAAACCTTTTAAAAATAAGCTAGACCACTTGATGGCAGTGGTGGTGGTGGCGCACACCTTTAGTCCCAGCACTCGGGAGGCAGAGGCAGGCGGATCTCTGTGAGTTCGAGGCTAGTCTGGTCTACAGAGAGAGATCCAGGACAGCCAAGACTACATAGAGAAACCCCATCTCGAAAAACAAAAAACAAATGAACAAAAAAGCTGTGCCTTAATTTGGACCCGAAGTGACAAGCAGCCTCCCTCTGTGATCCCTTCTCTGTGCTCCACAGCCCAGGAGAGAAACAGCAGTATTTGGTGTCTGGTAGTGCATTCTGTGAAGAGGTTGGCAAGGCCAGTCCTGAGGGGATGCCCAGAACCACACAGCCCCCAGTGCTCTAAGACATGGCCAAGCAGCTTACCAAACAAACTGAAAATGAAAGAATGTTAAGTGTTAAAAACCACACTGTGAGTTGGGGGCACAGCATAGTTGGTAGAGAGCTTGCATGAAGAAGCCCTGGGTTCAGTCTTGGCTAAATCATGGGTTCAAGGTCAGCCTGGGCTACATGGGACCCTGACTCAAAAGTAAAAAATAAAAGTCCAACTTAAATGCAATCAACCTCTGCAAACTACTTATGCCAAAATATAAAGAGTCCAGTGAAAGGGTTGTTTGGGCACTAACTTTCCTTTTTGCATTTTTAGAATATGGCATCTTGGCTGACATGACAGAAAAGAGTAACAAGAGGGAAATTTTATGGTCAGCAATCCGCAGCTATATCCTCAAGGTCCACAGACATTCCAAGCTGCCATGTATTTCCCACACAGCAAAAGAGAGCAGCTTATTTCTAAAGGCTATAGTTACTTGTAATACATTCATACCCCCACACACATGCACACAACCATACGCACATGCACACACATATAACAATGAATACTTTTTAAAGGTTTTTATGTATTTGGGTGCTTTGCCTGCATGTATGTCTGTGCACTACATGTGTTCAGTGCCCATGGAGACCAGAAGAGGACATTGGATCTTCTGGGACTTGGAGTTGCAGATGTGGTGTTAGGAATTGAACCCAGGTCCTCTAGAAGAGCAGCCATGCTCTTAATCACTGGGCCACCTTTCCTGCCCCAGGGAATGATTTTTGTTAGTTTGAGACTAGCTTTGGCTATGCAGAGTTCCAGGCTAGCCTGAACTACATTGCCAACCCATGTAAAAACAAGCAAGCAAACAAAAACCTTTCAAATCTGGATTTCAGAAAATCTGAATTGCTCTGGTCACATAGTAAGGACTAGACCAGCTTTGTATTGCTGCAGTGATCACAATAAAAATACTTAGTGAACGTATTTCACCACTACCACTCCACAAATACGTCCACTGCATGGAAGAGGAGCAGGGGGGGTAAGTCAAGTCATAGAAGTAATAAAGGAGCCAGGACAAACAGGTGGCCATCTCTACGGGGTATACCTCAGGGACACATAAAGAGATGGCTCTTTTTTTTTTCTTTTTTTTTAACATTTTTTTAAAAGATTTATTTATTATGTATACAGTATTCTGCCTGCATGTATCCCTTCAGGCCAGAAGAGGGCACCAGATCTCATTACAAGTGGTTGTGAGCCACCATGTGGTTGCTGGGAATTGAACTCAGGACCTCTGGAAGAGCAGTCAGTGCTCTTAACGACTGAGCCATCTCTCCAGCCCGAGAGATGGCTCTTTACCCCGTACCAATTCTCAGCCTTCTGGTGTTACCAGTTTCTCTGCTTGTGGTAAAATGTCCTATTAATCTAGAATCATCAGTGGACAAGTTAAATTGTCACACTCACACCGACAGCCCCCATGTTGTTATTAATTAGCTGAGAACTGGGCACCGCAGTGTGGGTAGAAAAGGAACTCCAAGACAGATCGCCTGAGAGGCAGCCCTAGGGGAGAGGACAGAGTGACAGGACAGAAAGAAGCCAACAAGAAGGTGACCAGGGTGAGGGAGACGCCTCAGTGAGTCAAGTACTGGTGGGACAGGCATAAGGACCCGGGTTCGGGGTCCCAACACCTAGGTGTCCATGCCTGCAGTCACGGTGTTGGGAGGCAGAAACAGGATCCCGGGAGCTTGCCTGGCCGACCAGTCCAGTCTGATCCACAAGCTCCAGGTTCAGTGAAAGACGCCATTCAAAAATGAAGATGGTGAGTGACTGTTCAGTGGTTAAGGGCACTGACTGCTCTTCCAGAGGACTCGGGTTCGATCCCCAGCACCCCACATGGCAGCTCACAACTGTCTAGAGCTCCAGTTCCAAGGAATCTGATGCTGTCGTTTGGCCTCCCTGGACATCAGGCACATACACGGCACACAGGCATATGTGCAGGCTAAACCTTCATACATATAAAATAAAATAATATTTTAAAAATAAAGACTGAGAACAGTAGAGTAAAGTACCTCATATCTATCTGTGGCCTCCACATACATGCACACACACACACATGCATATATGCTCCTACACACATACACACCACTATACACACATGCCACACACAGGTCCATGTGCTCCTCCGCACACACACACACACACACACACACACACACACACACACACAGGCGCATGCACACACACATGTACTCTTCCCCACATAGGCACCCCTCCATATACACAAAAAATAAACACATTTAAAAATAAGAGACTTCAGTAATTCAGGGCTGGTAAGGGGAAGGAAGATGGCTGAAGTGGGCGAAGCAGCAAAGACAGACAGGCTGACCAGCCTTGAAGCCAGGCATACGCAGCTTCTGGTTTATTAAAACAAATGAACAAAAAACAACACAGGCTGTGGGGGTAAAGGCACTTGCTGCCAAGCATGATGGCCTGAGTTCAAGCCCCAAGCCCCACCCAGTGGAAGGTCAGAACCGACTCCAGCACACTGTCCTTTATCTCCACATGTAACAGAAATGGGCTGAGTTTAAGTGTAAGAGCTAGTCAACGGTAGGCCTGAGCTAACGGCCAAACAGTTATAATTAATATTAAGCCTCTGTGTAATTATTTTATAAGCGGGCTGCGGGACTGAGGGGGCTGGGCAGGACCGGAGAAATCTTCCAGCGACACCCCGCCCCCAACACACACACAATAAAAAAAAAAAAATGTTTTGACAGAAAACACATCACGATCAAGTGCACACCAAGTAAACAACTGCCAGCAAAGACTTTGGTGAAGGTCAAGGAGACAGCCTGATACCAGACTAAAAACTAGGGGGTTGAAAAGGCGGTTCCACAAGTTTAAGGAAAACACACGCCTCAAAGTCCACTACAGTTAATTCCCGATTCCTGACCATTTCCATAAATTACGTTTCTTCTCCTTCCCTCAGGAGCCAGCCCACCATCATGACATAAACATGTCCTATATTAAACCTCAGAAAAAAACAAAGACAGACAGACAGACACCCTTCAGAGCTCCTGATGAGCACAGATTTTTTTTTTTTCAAGCAGTATCTTTACAAGGTTGTTCACCCTCGTTTTCCAAGCATCCCCTCCCCAGTTAAGTAATGTAGGGGCGAACTGACCCCTATAATCTCGAGGTTCTAGGGTAGAAACATGCAATCCAAGGACCCATACACCCCCATTCAACCCACTCCCAAACACACACGATCGGCTGAGCTGCTCAAGTTTATGAAGTGTACCAGCCAGGCCAACGGTAACCCTTAAATCAGGTCACCTCTGAGAAATTGCTTGCAAGCCGAAGTGTGAAAACTAAGGAAGAGATGTACCATAGTCTTGTACCTTGAATGCTTCTTTTGAAAAAGGCCTTACATCCTTCGCACGACCAGACGCCATAGTGATACCCAGATGCGTAATCGCTGCAGACTGCACAGAAGTGGGCATCCCTCTTTGAACTTGGACTAGTAACAGGGCTGGCATAACTGCTCCCACTAAGTTTCCTTTTCAGTGTCTCTCTGGGGGAGCAGAGAAAACGGGCATTGTAAAAGGGCACGAAAGAGAGAGCAAGGGCTTTCGGGGGGCATGGGGCGGGGGGAAGTAGCATGAACTTTGCCAAATGTAATCTCTTTGCCTTCCAGGGTTAGGGATAAATACGTTCCAGGAAACCCTGCCATGAGATCACAAAGAGCCATGCAGGGATGCCTGACATTCCAGAGCTAGGGTGGTGTGCCCAGGTCCTCAGGAGGCTGAAGGAGGCGGCTCAGGGCTGGGCTCGGTAGATCTAAGGAGAAAAAGCTCCTCCGCAGAGGAGTGGCAGGGGCAGACGCCCCCTAGCCGCTGATTTTGCCAGGACATGTTTCTTCTGGGAAGGGAGAGAGTAGAGGCAGGACTCATTTAGAAATGATGGAAAACTTTCCCAATGGTTAAGTTTGTCTAAATATTACCAGGACGTTGATGGGAATTTAAGAGGTTAAAAAAAATGTCATCCTTTAACATAGACGTAAGTGAAAAGCATTAATCTTAAGGTGTGGCTGACGGTTTTTATGTTTATCTTACCAATAAATAAAAAGATTAAGGAGAAAAATTTAATAATTGTGTAATATTTTCTCAAAGGTTGTTTTGGTTTGGTTTGGGGCTCAGAGATACTGAGTTTTGGGGTGCTGGGGTGGGCCCAGAGCCTCATGAATGTTAAACACACCCCCTAGCACTGAGACAGGCGCTCCAGCCACTATTTCCTCTAAGTTTTATGACACTATCTGAAAGTAATACTTTTTTTGTTTACTTGTTTTGTTTTTTGAGACAAGATCTCTTGGAACTCACTCTGTAGACCAGGCTGGCCCCAAACTCAGAGATCCGCCTGTCTCTGCCTCCTGAAAGCTGGGACCATACCCTGCAAGCAATGTATTTACTAGTCAGTGTGCCCTAACGTGGCACTCTTCTTCCAGAAATCCATTTCTTCCTACCACTTATTCATATTCCATCCTCTCCCGCCACAGCCATTGTTAACGCTGAAAATCTTATAAATTAGACTGAAATAATCTGTCGTTTGGCCATGCATTTGGAGTTTGGTTTGTTTTAATGTCGGAATTTTTCGATAGGATCCTACAGTTAGTTCCTCATTGATCCTTACAAAGCACGGCCTCAGCTCATCACTAAAGCTTATTCCCATTATCTTTCCTGGCTTCTCACAGCTACTTCATGGAAGTTGTAGTGTTACCATGGTTACTTTCATCCTGGAAACAATTTGTCATCAACGGTAAGTAACCCGTCATTTTTATACTAAGACTCTAATCTGACTGTAAAAAACAAACAAACATTTAAAACCTAACCCCTTCATCAGGACCAAACTGATGTAAGTTTGATGTTTGTTGCATAAAGAGAACATCTGTTACAGTGAACTTTTCCCACAATACCCAACCATAAGCACAACTTTTTAATAAGAACTAGAATATCAGGACTAGGACAGAGCAATATGTCTCAGGTATCCTAAGAGACAAAATAAAGGCCTTGGCTAACACACGTCTCTCTTCCTACTAAACCGTAAAGTGAGGATCGAGGCACCATCCATAAATTGGATGAAGACAGGACTTTACCTGCTCACAGGTAAGGTGTGTTCTAGTGATCTTGCTTCATACCAAGGAGTCTTCTGAGGTTCCGCATACAGAAGCGAGGACTGGCAATGAGTGGCCAAAGGAGAGAGGTGTCCAGAAGTTGGCCACAGCACATTTGGGCTTGTGGTCTGTCGAACAGGCCCACCTTCCAGGTTATTGGCACTGCTGGGGACGCTGTAATTCATCACAGCGGGACTATAGAATGCCATAGCTGAGTATTCATGGCGGCTCTCTACATAGGAGGAAGGGATATAGATGGGGCCGTGCTCCAGCGGCAGGAGGGGCTGGCTGCAGTTGTAGGAAGCAGGGGAATTAAGGCTTGATGGTGAGTTTTTGATATCCATGTCTTGAGCAGGTAGCAGCTGAGAAAACTCCTTGTGAGAAGATGTACAGACGGACATTATGTTCTCAAAGACTCATGGCAGGTGGGATGCCTGCAAAGCAAACCAGGTTCAGTTAGCTCCAGCTGCAAGGGTAACTGATAAGTATTCATTGCAGCGAGGGTCCCGACACTCAAGGAGGATGAGGCAGGAGGATTTCTACTTACAGGCCTGCTTGGGCTACAGAGTGAGACACAGTCTCAAGAAAAGAAAAGAAGAGGAGAGAAGAGAAGAGGAGAGGAGAGGAGAGGAGAGGAGAGGAGAGAAGAGAAGAGAAGAGAGGAGAGGAGAGGAGAGGAGAGGAGGAGAGGAGAGGAGAGGAGAGAAGAGAAGAGAAGAGAAGAGAAGAGAAGAGAAGAGAAGAGAAGAGAAGAGAAGAGAAGAGAAGAGAAGAGAAGAGAAGAGAAAAAAGAAAAAGGGGATGGGAATACAGCGTAGTTGGTAGATCCTTGCCTCACACACAGGAGGCCTGGGCTTTGATCCCCAGCACTACATAAACCAGGGATTGTGGAAGACCTTTGTAAACCCCGTATTCGGGAGGTGGAGGCAGAAGAATCAGAAGTTCAAGGCCATCCTCTTGCCAGGAGTTCAAGATCAACGTGGGATATATGATACTGTAGCTCAAAAAAGAAAAAATAGGGCAAAATGGCTGAATGGGTAAAAGTGTTTGCTGCTCAAGCCTTATGATAGGAGTTCACCCCCAGAACCCATGGTGGGAAGTGAGATTTCCTGAGAGTTGTCCTGGGGAGGCCAACACATACCACAGCACCCATGTCTCCACTCTTTTGCTGTCTCTCTGTCTGTTTATCTCCTTCTGTCTGTCTGTCTGTCTGTCTCTCTTTCTGTCTCTTTCTAACAGAATTTGTTTTAAAAATTCAAGTATTCATATTATCTTAACCATGCGCACGCGCGCGTGCACACACACACACACATATTAGTACAGGACTACAAGTATATCCTGGAAGATATATATGAAAATATTACCTACAAAGGGGTGGAAATGTAAGGTATAGAGTTCTCATTCTCTATTTCATTGACTGTTTTTTTTTTGGGGGGGGGACAGGTTCTTATGTATCCCATGCTGTCCTCAAACTACTTATGTAATCAAAAATGACCTTGAATTTCTGGTCCCCCAGCCTCCACCTCCCTTCCAAGTGCTGGGACTGTATGTATTCACCACCATGCTGAGTTTGTGAAGTACAAGGATCAAACCCAGGATTCTCCACATGCTAGTCAAGCACTCTGCCAAGCAGGCCACATTCTCTTCTCATTCACTTTATTGTTGCTGATGTCAGATAGAAGAATTTTTAAAATATTGTTATTTTATATGCATGGATGTTTTGTCAGCTGTATGGCTGTGCACTACATGTGTGCCAGGTGCCTACAGAGGTGCCAGGAGTCCCCTGGACTACAGTTGCAGAAGGCTGTGAAACATCATGTGGATGCTTGGAATCTGAATCAAACAAGGTCATCCGGAGACGAAGCCAGTGCTCTTAGCTCCGAGCCATCTCTCCAGACCTCAACCATAAGAACTTTCAACCGAAATAATTTATCACAAAATTATATTTGAATCTAAAAACACAGAAATACATTTAGGTATTTTCCCCTAGAACTATATAAGATCAACTGTAAGCTGTTACTGAAAAATAAGACTGAATGGGAACGTCAGTGAGTGAGACTATCACAGTTTTAACATATTAAAATATGCTATAAATCTACAATAACAAAAATGAGGAATTTATCACATAAATAGTCTGACCATAGTGTGACTTTGTCAGTCTATTGCCTCTAAACTTTAAAAGCAGACTTCAATATAGGATTTATACAAAAAAAAAAATAACAGAATTCCTGTAAGACTAAAGTGAGCTCCATGGTTAGCTCAGAAGAGGGCGCTATACAGACAAAGAGGCTTGCTGCGACTTCAGGCCCTGGCAGAGGCAGGCAGTATGAATGTGAGACTCCAGGACCGAGCTTGCCCCAGCCAAAGGTCCAGAATGAAATCCCTTGGCAGCCTGGCAGTCTGCCTGGCAATGGCCTTTTCATAGGCTCCTCTCTGGACCGTGACCCAAAAGTTGAACTGCACAGTTGTCCATTGCCCAAGACTCATCACCCTGACAGCTTCTGCCAAAGGCCTTCTGCACTTTGAGTGCATGGCCTGGCTACTGGCCGCCAACCACTGAACTACGTTTATTGAGAGGGGACTTATTGCTTAATCAGCAACCCTAGATCCTCCAAACCCGCAGACATCACTGTGTGCCGATGGCCAAACCTCACCTTGTGTTTTAAACTCCTTCAGCGTTGGATATTCTCCAACTTGGGTGCTCCCCCTCACCCCTACGGGGCCAAAAGACTCTCTGCATAGTTCATACTTCTCTCTCTCTCTCTCTCTCTCTCTCTCTCTCTCTCTCTCTGGTTTTTCAAGACAGGGTTTCTCTGTGTAACAACCCTGGCTGTCCTGGAACTCGCTCTGTAGACCAAGCTGGCCTTGAACTCTGCCTAGCTCTGCCTCCCAAGTCCTGGGATTAAAGGTGTGTGCCATCACACCTGGCTTATCTCTTCTTAGAGGTAGTATTTCTTTGTATTAAACTTCCCCTGTTGAAGGTATCATAGAATTGTATGTTCTGAAATGACCCAGATTGTTAATACCAACAGAACAGGCAATCATCCAAAGATTCGAAGGTAGGGGAAATCTGGTGGATAATGAGGTCCTTTGGAAGAACGGCAAATGCTCTTCAGTATCTTCAGTATTTCAGCTCTGTTCTCTTACTTCCGTGCACTGTTTGGCTGTATCATCTGAGCATGGCTGACGCTACCAAATCCTTAATCAAAACACATTTAAAGTACTTTAAACAGTGCACTTTCTAACAACTGAGTGCAAAATACATAAGCTCTTGATATGCATAGCAATTGTATTTATACATGAACTTGGGAGGTCATAATTAAAATTTAAATTTCTTGAACATTAAAAAAAAAAAAGTATAAAGAGCCAAAATGGCAGGTCCAGTTTAACATATAAAAATTAGGTCCAAAAATGAGTATGGCCACTCTGGTATATATGCTACCTTTTAAAAGATTTTTATTTATGTATTTATTCATGTGTGCACGTGTATATGTATGTGTACATGTATGTGCAGGTACGTGCACCCATGTACACCCACAGAGGCCAGAGGGGTTGTTGGGTGTCCTCCACTATCCTATCCCCACCTATTCCTTCTGTCCCTAAACCTAGGTTTCAAGTTTCCCTCTGCTAGGATGTAAGCCCAAACCCTAGAGTCTCCTGTCTCCATCTGTCTTGAAGTTGAGACAGCAAGCACATACGGGATATCCAGCTTGTTAGACCAGTGCCGGGGTTAGAACTTCGGTCCTCAGGACTGAGCTTTTAGTCATCAGGTCATCTCTCCAGTCCTACCTGTGTTGTTTGTTTGTTTGTTTGTTGAGTGGGTATTTCATGTAACCCAGGCTGGTATTGAACTTGCTATGAACTCCCCTACCTCCCCGGGTCTACACTTGAAGATGTCCACAATCGTATAAAGTATACGTGGTGCTGTGGATCAAGCCCGGGGCTTTGCGCATGCTAGACACTTTGCCAATGAAGCCACATCCCCAGCCCTTTATGTCCTTTCTATAGAGAATGGCACTGACTGATCCAGGCATGGCGGCACACACCTGTGTTCCTAGCACTGGAATGGCAGAGGTAAGAGTTATAGCTGCAAGTCTGAGGGCAGCTTGTTTTGCATACTGAGTGCCAGGCCATCTTGAGCTATGTACTGTAACCCTGTCTAAAAAAAAAAAGTCAACCAACAAACAGAAAAACACAAAAATGCCACCAAATCTTTCTGAATGCAACCCTCCAAAAGGAACAAACACAGTACTCTGAATTGTCATATGGAAAGCAATTAAATTCAGGAAATTACAAGCCAAGAGAACAGTAAAACTCAAACAAATTTGAACAAAGGACCTCAAGATGATACTGTTAACAAAAACGCAGTTAGCCAGGCAGCAGTGGCACACGCCTTTAATCCCAACACTCGGGAGGCAGAGCCAAGCAGATTTCTGTGAGTTCGAGGCCAGCCCGGTCTACAGAGCGAGATCCAGGACAGGCACCAAAACTACACAGAGAAACCCTGTCTCAGAAACACACACACACACACACACACACACACACACACACACACACACACACAAACAATTAAATGGTAATTGTTTGATATGATTTTAGCATTGTAACCGAACAAGAACTCACTGGATCTACAGGGTCTTAGCTCTTCATCCCCTAAAGGAATGTAGTTAGCACGCCAGCATCCCAAGTTCGGCAGACTCCACAGGGCGGCCATCAGGAACCTTGGCTGTGTTTTCCTCTCATCAGGCCTCTTATTTAGGATTTACTTCCTCTTATTTTTCTGTGTATGAGTGTTTTGCCCGTGTGTGTCTGAGATGTACACTGAGTGTGTATCTGGTACCCAAAGGAACCAGAAGATCTCCTGGAACTAGAGTCACAGATGGTTGTGAGTCACCACATACTGGGAATTGAACCCTGGTCCTCTGAAGAAGCATGAAGTAACTGGGTTGAGAAGATAACGCAGTCAATGAGGTGTCTACCTGCAGGCAGGAAGGCCCTAGTTCAACCCAAGAATCCACGTAAAAGGCTTCATGATGCTCCATACCAGGCTGATGAGAGACTCTGTCCCCAAAAAACCAAGGTGGAGACAAATGGGATGGCTCCATGGGTAAAATCACTTGCTTCATAAGCAGACTGAGTTTGATCACCAGAACCCACAGAATGACAGAAGAGCTGTCCTCCAGCTCCAGACACATGCAGAGTCATGGCATGCACACACCCACACTCTCACAGACATCATGCATAAATAATAATAATAATAACAATAACAATAATAATAAATAAAAAGTTAAATTGGGCAGGACAGATGGTCCAGCGGTTAAGAGTGCTTGCTATTCTTTCAGAGGACCCAAGTTCAGTTTCCAGCACTCACATCAAGTGGCTCACTACCACCTACAACTCCAGTCCAGAGGATCTGATACCTTCTTCAGGCCTCCGCAGAAACCACACACATATGCACATACATGCACATACACACATCCTGATACATAAATAATACAATATTTACATAATAATTTAAATTTAAATTTTTTTTCAAGATGGACAGTGCCTGAAGAAGAGCAGCAACCTGAGGTTGTCCTTTGGCTTGCACACTCATATACACACACATATGTGTGCACATGTGTACCCACACACATACGTGCACGCGCATGCGTGGACGCACACGCACATGTATACACAAAAACAAAGTAATGATCAGTCACGTGGAAAGACTTGAACTTAAAAAAACACTTTCCCTTATCCAGCTGGTAAGTGAACATAAAATTTAAAAACAGCAGAGAATTGATCTCATCATCTCCTTTCACACCCTCAGGTCAGCAGCTCAAATGACCCTGCCATGGAAAGGCATGTGCCAAGATCATTCAGGTCATCAGTCAGCTGCCATAACGATGTCACCTAGAAAACAGAGATCTCATACGTGAGCATATATATCACCAATCCACTTCCCCAGTTTTTCTACCAAGTCCCAGGACGTTCCGTATTGTTGAGGACCACTGCTGGCTGGATGGTAGTTAGAACTACAGTTGCCCTTTGGCCGAATATCTTTTGATACATCCAGATTCACACCACAACTACTTGTCAGGGGCATCTTGGATAATGAGTAGAATGATCACCGATAACAGAACTTTTCTTCCTCAATCACAACCTCGGAGAAGCTTTCGTAGACTTGAGGTTATGCATGGCATGCTAAAGTAGGACCTGGGAAACACATTTGGATCTCAAGCTAAAAAATAAACTTTTTAAAAGCCCAATATTGACAGTGATTTTTATGGAGAAGAAAAAGGTTGGCCCTGGAAATAACACATTCCACAAAGAATAGACAGACATGCAAATCTAGCTGAAGGAGAGAAGTCAGTTACCAGCCAGCCTATATTCATGGGTAGTATAGCACAGGGGATAGAACAGAACACTGGGTGCTAGGCTCCGCTCTTCCTCAACACCAGCTCTTAGACAAACCACAGAAATTCCTTGAACTTTCATATCCTTTTCAGTAGAAATAAGAAAATATTGCGGGATGCACCTTTTCACAGAACTCCGAGGGAGAAAGGAAGTGAAAAGCATTCTGTGAGGCGTCATTATATGGTGAAGAGGATGAAACCAGCCCACTGACGTGCCCCTGGGCACACCTCTCTCATTGGAAAGGATTCCCAGACAATTTAAGATAGTTTGATTTCTGATCATGAAGACTTGCTTCCGAACTTTACTTTTTAAACCTGTGTTTGACGGAAGCCCTGTCACCACAAGCAGTCCCGATAGCTGGGCTGTTAGGAGCCTGTCTGCTGTGGGTGTATAAACAAAATGCCACCTCCCCTGAGTGCCATATTCTGGGCTTGCAGATGCGGTTAACTTTGACAGGTTACCTCCATTCTCCTTCACCTGTCCATCCCACCCCCACCCCCGCCCCCAAGCATCCTATTCAAACACTCCAATTCACACTCACCAAAGAGAATTTCGTGGACAAGAAAAATACATAGAAATACATTTCTCTTCTTCCTCCTTTTTTCTCTAAGACAAGATCTCATGTAGCTGAGGCTGGCCTAAAAACTGCTATGTAGCCAAGGTTGTCCTTAAACTCCCTGATCTTCCTGCTTCTCTATTCTGAGTTCTAGGATTATAGGCAAGTACCACCATACCTGCTCCATGTGATGCTCCAAGGCCATGGAGGCCAGGGCTTTGTGCATGCTAGGCAAGCCCTTTACCAACTGAGCCACATCCCTTTAGTATACCTTTTAAGCATCAAGCATTCTTGATGTGTGCTTCTGTTTAGCAGTTACTACCTTCACATTTATCTTTTCCAAAGCAAAATATTAAGGCCTTCAATCAATTTCATGTTAGGAACAAAGAAAATTTACTCTAAAATAACCATAAAACTGACCACTAATAATTGACTTACATGCAACTCTTTAAAACTTGTATGTGCATCTTCCAAAATGAGAGAAAGCTAAATCCTCTCTAAATTCTTAGACCGGTATTTTTTTAAAAAAAAAAAGCTTAAATTCGACTGTCTGTAAACAATACTGCAATAAGCATAATTTTTCAGATGTCTATTACAATGCACTAACACTGTTACAAAATCTAATGTCCAAGTATTCGGTTTTCAAGGGCTTTGCGTACAATCAACAAAAACTTACCAGCAGATAGTTGATGTTTACACCTCAGAATTGTATGTAATCACTTCCTAATGTGTTCCATACAAGGACTTGAAACATCAACTAAAATTGTATCATGAAATAGATTTTGAAGCAGTACCTGTCGAATTACAGAGTTTCGGTCTTCACAAGGGACATAATGTCTGTTAACGGCAAATTATACATTTGATAGGTTGAATTTAGTACGAAGTTTTACCTTTTTACATTAAACATGCATTCTGAGAAACATCAAATCTGACAAGACCCACCTTGAAATAGTCCTATGGGTGCTTTTTTGTTCATTTCAAACACTTACATATCTTAATTAAAGCTTAAAGGGATACTTTCAACACTGCGTCTGAAATAAGAATTTCAGATTCATCTAGAAAACTACTGAACATAAAATGGAACCCTAAAGTTTCTTCTTTAACATTTAGTGATCTTTTGCTTCAGATAGAATGTCTGTTAGAGCAGTGGTTCCCAACCCTCCTCATGCTGTGACCCTTTAACCCAGTTCCACATGTTGTGGGAACCACACACATACCACACACACACACACACACACCCCCACCACCACCACCACCACCACCATGAAATTATTTTCATTGTTCTTTTGTAACTGTAATTTTGCTACGGTTATGAATTGTAATTGTAACTGTAAATTTTGGAGATAGAGGTTTGTCGTAGGGCTGTGACCCACAGGTTGAGAACCACTCCAGGCTCTCTCAGGGAAAGAAAGGGCACTAAAGTATCCATCACACTCTTTTCATTGTCCCCATATATCTATTTTCTAGTCTTCCCCTTCACTTTTTAAATAACATTTACTCGGAGAGAGAGGAACTATCACCGTGAGTTGGATCATTATAGCAAAAATGAAATTTCAAGTGGAATGCTCACAAAAACCCTTGAAATAGAACAAAACAGAACTCCTTCCTCCGGTGTGCTGTGTGCCCCAGGAAACACAACCCGCCTTCTGAAATGTAAGAAAAACCATCCAGCTTTCTTTCTGAATAGAGCCCCACTCAAATTCCAAGTTTGGTTTCTCACACACAAAAACAACATTCACTTGACCTAATTTTCTACTTCTACTATGAGACAGCCACCGCAGATAATCGTGAAGAAGCAACAGTTAGATAGACTCCTCTCTGGCAAATACGAGAGGTCAGATTTAATGTATCTCAGCCTATCCGGGAAGAATAAATCTATTTCTGACACGACTAAGGATGGCCAGTCGACTCATTATCAGGCCACGATCACCTGCCTGAGACAGGCACATCTTCCCTGGTCCACAATACTCCGGCAAGAAGCGTCATCATTTCATCCACTGCAGGAATCCTCGGAGGAAAACCACGGGGATTTCCTTTCCTTTTTTTTTTTCTTTTTAAGACATTTATATTCACACAACCAACCCAAAAGTGAATAAAATTTGTTTCCAGTAGTGTTCAAGGCAGTTATCCAACCCCCTGCCCCTTTCTTGTTCTAAGTATTGCTGGCTTCCCCGTGGTGAGAATTCACACAAAGTCAATGAAACCACCCTCCGAGCAAAAGGGCACTTACCTAGCAGGTAAACATTCTCTTTTTTGCATTCTCTAAATGCAGGCACGTGCTCTCCTCGGTCTCCGCGCTGCGCGGGACTCCGGGACTCACAGCCACTGGCTGTCGCTCAGCCCTGCAGCGGCTGCCAGACTCTACCCAGAGCGGATGCCAAGGATGCCAGGCTCCCCGCCTCCTCTACTCCCAGGAAGTTTCAAGAGGTGGTTCTAGAAGCCTCGGAGGAGGCAGGGACCTGGGAGTCCATTTCAAAAAAGACCAGCAGCTGGAGAGGCTGCAAAGATTACCCACGACTAACGACTAACGGCGTTAGTGCGTCTTCCTTTTAAAGACCGTGATGAGGGGGTGGGAGGTGAGCTGAAGAGCCCACGTGACCACGAACCCGGAGCCGGAGATCTCCGACACTCCAGCGCTGCGCCTCCAGAGCCACTGCATGTCCACTTCCAGCCATCTCACTGTCACCCACTAGGGACACCCCCTCCCTTCCCAAGAGACTGACAATGGAGGACCGAGATGGGGCCAGAGAATGGGCATTTCTGACCAGGTCCACGGGGATTCTGGAGTTGACAGTGCGAGTCCACACTTCATCCTGTCTCCAGACTTTCACCGACGTGCATGTCATTAAATATTTAAGTCTGACAACTATCCGTGAGAAGCTAGGAACATGGGTAACAGCATCGAAATGGGCAGTAATAACGGGGTGATGAAGACAGATAGATCCCTTGCAGGGAGCGCTAGCTTGAGCCCCGAAAGGCAAGGCCACCGGCTGGAGTGGAGGCGTGGACGATCATCTATCAGAGTCTGGCGGCGCGGGTGGAGAGAGGGAGAGAGAGAGAGAGAGAGAGAGAGAGAGAGGGAGGGGGAAAAGTATTGGGTGAGGTCAGATTCCGGTGCCTCCTGGAATTTACCTGGAGAAAATCCGTCTGCGCTTTTACAGGGCTCCTCCCTCCTTGGCAGCGAGAGTCTCTGGCGCCCCCTGATGACAGCCCTTGTTCTCCCAGCTCTACCTTGTCAGCCTTCCCCATCCACCAGGAAACGGCCCTACTAGGCAAAGGCTGGGTCATACCTTAGGCTTTGAGGAAAAGTTGCCTTTAAGGCAGCCATTGATGGCAAAAGTTAAAAGGGAAGCAAATGACCGATAGGCCAACTTGGTGTCCCACATGTACCTAATTAGTCATCAAACCATCCACACACAGCATGGGGACTTGTTTATAAAAAGGTTTTAAAGGTCTACCTTTTATCTTTTAAATTATGTTGCACGTGGGTATGTGCACATATGTGTAAATGCCCACAGAGACTATAGGTGTGGGATTCCCTGAAGATGGAGTTACAGGAGGGTGTGAGCCCCTGGACATGGGTGCTGAGAACAGAATTCAGCTTCTATGCAAGAGGAGCTCTCTGCCTTCACAGCTGCGCTGTCTTGCCAGACCCCAGACCTGGTTCTTGATGGATGGTAATCTAATAGAGGAAGGCCAAGGTGGCATTTGGAGGGACACTTGTACAACGCCAGCCTCAGCTGTCTGGATGTAACCAAAATGTGCACACACACATTATATGCACATCCAATAATACGTTTTTAATTTTAAAAACCACTTAGAATGCAACATCAGTGAAGGACTCTCCATCAAGAGCCAAGAGACAGGTAAAGGTGGAGGGAGGGGAAAGAAAGCAGCTATGGAGTATCTGCTGCAAGCCGGACTGCACAGCATCTCACTTAATCCTTACACCAACTCTGAGAGGCAGGTAATACTGCCTCCTCCTTCCCATGAGGACTGGAGGCTCACGGAGCTTACATCCGCTATGTGAAGCCACAGATGAGAATGAACCCCGTAGCAACAGTGGTTTTTATACACAGAGATCACTTACTGGACATTTAACTAGACGCTGCTTTCATGAGTGTGTGTGTGTGTGTGTGTGTGTGTGTGTGTGTGTGTGTGTGTGTGTGTCTTAAACTAGATTTCCATTGCTCCGATAAACACCAAGACCAAAAGCATCTTGGGGAGGAAAAAGTTTATTTCAGTTTACAGTTGTAGTCCATAATGAGGGGAAGTCAGGGGAGGAGCCTGGAGGCGGGAGCTGATGTAGAGGCCATGGAGGGGTGCTGCTTACTGGCTTGCACCTCCCAGCTCGCTCAGCCTGCTTTCCTATAGAACCCAGGCAGGACCACCTTCCCAGGACCGGCATCACCTTCAATGGACTGGGCCCTCCCACAACAGCCACTGACCAAGAAAATAGCCCACAGGCTTGCCTACAGGCCAATCTTATGGAGGCATTTTCCCAACTGAAGTTACCTCTTCTCAGATGACTCTCCATTGTGTTAAGTTGACATAAAACTAACCAACACATGTATATGTGTAATCTACTCTATAAACAATGAGCATATAAAATAGTCTTCGTTTGCCTGCCTGCCTGCCTTTCTTTTTTTTAAAATTTTTGAGTCTTATTATGTAGCCCAGGCTAGCCTGCAAATTCAAATGTGCCATGCCTGCCTATAAAGCAAACACTACCATTAATCATTCCAATTTTATGACTGGGAAAATGGATGTTCATGAGGAGTAAGTGACCTTCCTAGGATCACATGGCTTGTGAGTGACTGAGAAGGATTTGAACCTAGGGCAGAGCCTAAAGCCCTGTCCTGTGTCCGTTTAAACCGAATCTGCAGTGGATCAGAAGAAAGTCGACTTGCAGGTTTGTTCTGTGCAGAACACGGATGCCTCCTAACAGAGAAACCCCTCTGCGGCGTCCCTGGCCCCCTGTGAAGCCAGTGTCTACTCAGTTCCAGCAGTGAAGCCCTGGGCTGGGTGTCATGCTTCCTGCCGAAAGCATCCTGCTCGTGGGGGCAGTATGTTCTCACTTTAAAGACCCTCAAACACCCACAATTTGCAGCTTATTACACCAGGCATATCAGTGCAGGACATCTGAAGCAAACAGAATGAATGGAGGGGAGGAAATTGCCTTGCTGACTCACCCTGTCCGTCACGAACGATAATGGTGCTCAGATGGGTGGTTTGTCTACTTGAATGCACAGTGAGAGGGTGGTGACCCCAGTCTACCTGAACCATGACCCAAACTAAGAAGGGCTTCTTGAGACAGTGAATGCCAATGGTTAGACCAAAAAGCACCCTGCAACCCAGTGATAAGAACGGTGCTTTTGCTTAGCGGAGTCACTGAGCTCATCCACAAGCTGCCCAGCAAAGCAGTCACGTGGTGTGACAAAAAAGGATCTGCCTCTCTCTCTCTCTCTCTCTCTCTCTCTCTCTCTCTCTCTCTCTCTCTCTCTCTCTCACACACACACACACACACACACACACACACACACACACACACACACACACAAATGAAAATGGAAGACCCTAAAAAAATGACTACTATGCCAGGGTCATGCTAAGGCTTGCCTCTGGATTTTTACTCTCTCTCTCTCTCTTTTGAGTGTGGCCAGACGGGTCCTGGGATGCTCTTGCTTGCTCTAAAGCATAGGATCAGACCTACCCCACATTCTGTGCTTATGGCCTGGTCTGTTTCAAAAGGAGATGAAGAGATAGAACCCACACTTGTGGGGTCAGACCACTGCAAAGCAGTGACACCTTCATCGGTGATGAGTGGCAGAAACAACATTGCCTAATGCCAGGGGCCGTCTCCCCAGCATGCCAGGGGCCATCTCCCAGCATGCCAGGGGTCATCTCCCCAGAAGGACAGGGGCTGTCTCCCCAGCATGCCAGGGACCATCTCCCCAGAAGGCCAGGGGCCGTCTCCCCAGCATGCCAGGGCTCATCTCCCCAGCTCAGAAATCAGACCTCGTACAATGCGGAAGGAGGAAACAGAGCTGACAAACTGGTGTTGTAAGGGACTAACCAATAAACTCGCCCAGAAAATACTAAGTTACCCAAAAGTAAGACTTAGTTAAAGGAGTGCTGCCTCTGCCGGGCAGTCTAGAGAAGACAACCCTGTCAGATGGTGCTAAGTGAACGCAGTGTGAACGCAGTGTGAACGCAGTGTGAACCTGGTGCCTCTTATCAGGAAGATCATAGATCTGCCAGACAGACAGGGTGACCCTGGTTAACAGCTGCTCGGGGAAAAGCAGTCCCAGCCTGTCTCAGGATAACTATGACAATATTTTTATTTTCTAAATCTCCCCATTTGTCCAAACAGCCAAACCTTGGAATTTCTGTCTCTGCAAAACATGTTTAATTGTTGAAAGTGTAACTTGGGGCTGAGAAACTAGACAGGCTGATGGGTGGGGGGTGTTCTGTTCATGACCAGGTCTCCTTTGTGCCCTAGTCAGAACTGGTGTGTGTCATTATTAAAGCTTTTTCTTCATCGATCTCTAAGCACTTGGAGTGAGTCTCAGTCAGAAGGCACAGTACTATTATACCGATATGACTTAATATTTGGGACTTGATTGGAGTAGAACTCTCATGCCTTTGTGGCAATTAAAGTGAATGTAGTGCCCACTTCGGCAGCACATATACCAAAATTGGAACAATACAGAGAAGATTAACATGGCCCCTGCAGAAAGATGACATGAAAATTCGTGAAGTGTTCCATATTTTTAAACCCTTCCCCCACCCCCAAAAAGTGAATATGATGTTTACTGAACATCTTCCCAGCCCTTTCTACAGATGGGGAAACTGAGGCTCAGAGAGAAGAGGCGTTCCTACTTTCATATGTGTAAACAAATGTTCCACCTCAAGTTTAACTATACGCCTGCTAACCTCCCTTCGTGTCTATTTGCATATGATTTTTTTTCTTATATATGACATAATCTGAAGCAGACTGTCCTGTAGAACTGGGTAGTACTGTGTGAAACTTTGTCAAGTTCTGCTCTAGACCTGGCCACCTATGAGCATAACTATAAAACTTCCCTCTTTACTGGTCCGCATTTGATTGGTGTCCCAGGTACCAAGGACATAGCGGCAATGGGGACCTGACTTGATATCTACGTACCCAGGCCACCGAACAAGATTCCTCTGACCTGAAGTTTAAATGATCCACCTGGGCAACCAGCTTCTGCAGCCAGGTCTCTGCAAGCCCCCCAGGCACGCCTCAATCTTAATCTTCGATGTCTGCAAATAAGCAGGCAAAATCGTTTTTGTGCAGCTCCTTGAAGGTGCTTGAACTGCACCAGAGTCTCTCCAATACCTTGAGTGGCTAATGTTCTAGCCATCTGAAACCTCACCGCCTGAAGAATCCCTGGCCTGGTCGCCAGCTCTAAAGCAGTGCTCTACATGCTCTAGAAGGAAAACGAACCCCTGGTGTGACTGCGCACGCCCATTTGAGAAGGATATGCTAACAAGCCCCCAGAAACGGTAGCAAATGGTAAGGTGCCATTTCATAAATGACTCAAACGCAATTCTGGAAATGCAGCATCCTTACCTCTTGTGGCTCAGAATAAAACAGCATTAATGACAGGCCAGACAGTGTGACAGTCCCCAAGATGAGGTCAGGAAGGAGAAGGGTTATAGATGGACATGGTTAAGAGGCCACAGATTTTAATAAGTCTGTCTGATTCTGTAGTTCAATCTCTTTTTTATTGACCATTTTTTCTCTACTTCTAAAGTATTTAATGTTTTTAAATTTTTCACTCATTAGAGAAAAATATTAGAAATGTCTCATATTGAACCCAAAAGACGGCTCCTTGAGTAAAAGCAAATTTACCACCAATAGCTGAGGTCAGTGCCTGGGACCTACCTAAAAAGATAGAGAAAAGAGCCAATTCCTACATGCTGTCCTCTTGACCTCCACATCTGCCTACACGTGTGTACATCACACACACACACACACACACACACACACACACACACACACACACACACACACATACACACACACACACACACACACACACACACACACCCCACCGATAACAAATACAAAGGAAATGACTCATATTGTCCCATACCAACAGACTATAGTGATAAACATTGCATAAATTGTTCTCTTTTTTTTTTTTTAACCCAGATCTTCTGAGGTTTGTCAAGGGTACAAAATTATAGTTAGAAAGGATGAGTGAGTTCTAGCATTCATCAGCTAGAACATTCATCAGTTGCACAGTAGGGCAACTGTAATTGCCAGCAATTTACTGTGTGTTTCAAAACAGGCAGGGAAAGCAGGTGTGGCGTGCACGCTTGTAATGGGAGCACTTGAGAGGTAGAAAAAGGAATTGAAGATCATACGTGAGGAACTTAAGGCCAACGTGGGCTATGGTGAGACCCTGCTGTCCCCACAAAAAGCTAGAAGACATAATTCTGAACCACCTCCCCAACACAAAGAAATTATAACTGTCAATTCTGAATCTCCCCCCAACACAAAGAAATGAGTACCCTGATCATCACACATTATACACCCGTATTCAAATAGTACACTGTACCCCTACGAGTTTATGTACAACAATTGTGCATCAATTGTTTATGTATGTGGTGTTTTGTCCAAATGTACGTCTGTATACCATGTGCATGCCTGGTGTGTTCAGAGATCAGAAGAGGGCATCTGATCACCTGGGACTAGAGTTACAGACAGCTGTGAGTTGCCATGTGGATGCTGGGAATTGAACCCGGGTCCTCTGGAAGAGCACTCAGTGCTCTTAACCACTGAGCCATCTCGCCAGCCCCAACTATGTGTCAATTTTTAAAGGAATAAAAAGTAAAAGGTAACATTTACCACATTTTAAAGGAAACAGATTTCCATCCGCAGGAACATGGATGCCTGGCCTTGGATATTGGTCCCTAACGACCTCTTTCTGGGAAATGCCATTGCTATGCTGATGCCACTGAGGTCTCTACCAGGGTTGTCTGCTACCAGGGTTGCTGTCTCAGAGGCTTGTCAGCATGACCCCATCCTTTTCTCCCCACCTGCTTGTTCTCTCCCACCCCCATCTCACTCTGCAATACAATTTAGGAGAGAAAAATCCTTGACAACTTCTCCAGTTAGTTTCATCTTCAAATTTCCCTGACAGCCAACGTTCCATTTACTCTTTCATAAGACACTTGTCTTTGAGGATGCTATTTGCCTGGTGCATTTATGTCATTAAGGCTGCCCCCTTAACGCTGAACACCATAATGCTTGAAGTGTCTCAGACAAGAGGAACTATGAGGGCACTTGCTCTCACATAAGGAAGACACAGCTGCCATCCGTGTCCCCACCTGCTTCATGTCACTCAATCTCTGTCTTAGTGGCTTGTGTTCCTAGAGCAAAACACCAGAATCAACTGAAAAGAGGAGCTGGGCTGGGTGGAGTGGTGCATGCTGGGAGTCCCAGCTCTTGGGAAGCCACGGCAGGAGGATCCCAAGTTCAAGTCCAGCTTGATCTATATAAAAATGGGAATGTAACTCTCCCCTATCCTACACCTCAAAGCGTCCCAAAGAGTTTTTTTCTTTTTCTTTTTTTTTTTAAGGTTTATTTATTATGTACAGTGTTCTGCCTGCATGTATGCCTGCAGGCCAGAAGAGGGGGCCAGATCTCATTACAGATGGTTGTGAGCCACCATGTGGGTGCTGGGAATTGAACTCAGGACTTCTGGAAGAACAGCCAGTGTTCTAAACCATTGAGCCATCTCTCCAGCCACCCCCCACCCCAAGAGCTTCTTTTGGTTGATGATTGGGGGCTTCTGGTTCATGGTTTGTTGGCCTCACTGCTTCGGGCTTATAGCAAGGCAGAATACATGGCAGATAAAACTCATCACCTTATGGCAAGAAGTAAAGGAAAACAAGAGGAGATGGTGAAGTCCCAGGGGATACATCAGGAGCATGTCCCCAGTGGCCTAACTCGCTTCCAACAGGCCCTACCTCCTAAAGCTTTCTCTGCCTGCCAGGGGTGCCATGGGGCTGGACTCCAAGCTTTCCACCCATGGGCCATTGGAGGATATTCAAGAACCAAACTATAGGAATCCTCGTGACAATCAGACTAGACAGGTACTATTTATATTACCATCTCACAAATGAAGAGAGCAAGACTTGGGGAATTTATGCAGAAATCACATCGCTAGTGAGTAGCCAAGGGTTCAAAGCAGACCCATTTCACTCCAAAGCCCAGCCTCTCTGTACTGTTATTCTCCCAAGGCTTTGGACAATAAATGTGAGGAGAAGTCAAAACTCCATGAGACCTACTCAGGGTCTGGAAGAAGTGAGGAATGAGTGGGGGAGGCAGGGGACTTAGTGGGCTTTCAGGGGTTGAGAAGTCGTGTCTGTGTGTTTTTTGGTTTTTGGTTTTTGAGTTTTTTGAGACAGAGTTTCACTGTATAACAGCCCTGGTTTTCTTAGAACTATCTCTGTAGACCAGGCTGGCCTTGAACTCACAGAGATCCACCTGCCTCTGCCTCCTGAGTGCTGGGATTAAAGGCATGCACCACCACTGTCGGACCATTTCTGTGTTTTTAAGTTCTTATTAGAGGGAGAGTCATGATAATTCTGAGACCATTACCTGAGCAGATTGAGTTTCAGTCCCCGGCAGTTCTGATTTCCTCTGGGTTTCTATCTGAATCCTCCAGCTCTAATAGTTTGCTTTATATTGCTATATAAAAAAAAAGTTGATCGAATGCAGCTTGAGGAGGAAAGGGTTCATTTCAATTTACAACTTACAGCCCATCATTGGGGAAGTCAGAGCAGGAACTCAAGGCAGGAATCCAGAGGCAGGAACTACAGCAGAGGGTGTGGACAAACACTGTTTGTTGGTTTGTTCATCCTGCTTCCTTATACAACCCAGAATGACCTACTCAGGGGTGGCACCACCCACAGTGAGCTGGGCCATCCCACATCAATCATCAATCAAGTAAATGCCCTATAGATTTGCCTACGGGTCAGTATGGTGAAGTCATGTTCTCAATTGAGGTTCCACTTGCCAGATGACTCTAACTTGGGTCAAGCTGGCAAAAGACAAACCAAGACACCAGGTGTGAAGCCTTGCAGCCTTCCCTGGTAGTACTCAGCGCTCTTTCTCTTTGGTATTCTGGAAGCTTCTTTCAGGGAGTCTGAAGACAGGAAAGCACCTCTGTTTGCTCTGTAGTCTAAGCTCACCCTGTGGTTGTGGAGAGGAGCTCTGTGGGTAGGGTGGACAATAGAGGGGTGCCGGGACAGACAGATCAGGATGGACCACAGCAGGAGTGGAATCTGGGGCCTGGGTGATTTTTCATCTCAACCACCTCCCACTTGTGCGCCTTGGCACTCATGTCTTTGATCTTTCTCTGTAAAATGGGAATGAGACAAGAGTACACCTCACAGGAGAAACAGTGGTTGGATAATGCTTTGTTTTGCAGAATGAGGGATTGAACCCAGCAGCTCGCACATACTAGTCAAGCACCCTACAACTGAGCTCTGTCTCCAGCCTGTTTCTAGGTGTCTGAGATGACCTTAGATCGCTGTGACAAAATGCTGATCAAATGCACTTGAGGAGGAAGTTTGGGTTTGGGTTTGGGCGCTGTATGCACGTGAGTCTGCAGGCGCACATGTCTGGGCACAAGCATGCAGAGGCTAGAGCAGGATGGCACATGTCTTCCTCTATCCCTTGAAACAGGGTCTCCCATTGAACCAGGAGCTCACTGTTGAGTCTAGGTTGGCTGG